CAGCACAGAGCAAGGTAAGACATGCTCAAGATTATCTTATTCTACTATTCTTCCTGTATCTATTCAATGAGCTGGCCAGGGCACTATTATTGTCTGGCTGGGGGGCCAGAGAGGGAAAGCATTTACCTAATGTGTCAGAGCCAGGAAAGGCTGAGGCTCCTCCTCTGTTAAGGCACGTGATCCCTTTTTGGACACTTTTTTTTCATACATGGATTCCATGATCTGAAAGAGCTCACCTCTCTAGCAAAACTGTACTCAACATATAATTAGTTCATTTTCCCAATTAAAAAAAAAAAATCAATGGGCTCGGTGCCCGTAGCTCAGCAGTGTTGGAGCGCAGGCCATATACACCGGGACTGGCGGGTTCAAACCCAGCCCGGGCCTGCTAAACAACAATGACAATTACAACAACAACAACAGAGTAGCTGGGCATTGTGGCAGGCACCTGTAGTCCCAGCTACTTGGGAGGGTAAGGCAAGAGGATCGCTTGAACCCAAGAGTTTGAAGTTGCTGTGAGCTGTGACACCACAGCACTCTACCGAGGGTGACATAAACTTATGAGCAAGGAAATAATGATTTGGGGTGACACCCGAATCCTCACTGCTTATATGAGATGAATTTTTGAGTGGGCAAAGGTCGCTCCCCCCCTAAAAAAAAGTCAATGGAAGCTCTCACTGTCCACCATATAGAACTTCTGATTTGTCTGGTACAGCCAAAAGGTTATAACTCTGGCTGAAAGGAATAAAAACTGACTTTAGTCAGATCACCCAGCTGTGGGTGGTGACAGTAGTAGGTAATTCTTGTTTCATTTTGTGCTGCATCAGGAAGAATGTGGAAATAGCCCTCTCACCTCTCCACTGCTCTTCTCACAGTCAGAGGTCTCAGGCTGGGAATCACTGCCTGGCCTCTACTAATTAAGGTGGAAAATGGATTTAGGCCAGTGATTTTCAAATGATGTGCCACGAGAGGATCTTAGGTGTGATGGCATATTACCAAGGGCGACAAAGTGAGACTCTCTCTTGAAGAAAAAAAAAAA